AATTCGTTCGCGCTATTAACGCGTAAGCGGAGATTTAATCTGTCTTAGAAATCGCTCCAAATTAATTGGAAGAAGCTTATTTGCCATAATTGATTTGTTACAAGGAGCGAAATCTATCCTTTTGTACTTTATATGGCGTGTGGGGGGATGATTTTCATAAAAAATTTCAAATTTTAGAATTTTTTTTTTCATTTTTATTACATTTTATTAAGCAATAAAAGGCAGTCGGAACATTTAGGGCTTCGCCCTGATACGAGCAGTCTTGTTAATCTATAGGCACGAACGATCATTAAATTTACAGCGTGACGAATGGTTTTACAAAGCTAAAAATCAATGCCAAACATGTTGGTCAAGACTTAATTCGTCCGCATGTCAATTTTCACACTTGCTTCGCACCACTTGCTATACAATACAAGAAAGCCGGTAAGGCAAAAAACAAATCAAAAACATTAAAATGAATGGAGCTAGTTTTGAAAAAAAAGACAGAACGTAAAATTAGCATCGGAAAAAACTTTACCAGGCGGTACCGAAGCGAAAAATAACTGAGCAGAAAAACTTTCAGCCGAAAAATTTTTAACACAAAGGCAAAGCTAAGCTTCGTGCCACTTGCGATGCTTAAACTGCAGAATTGAAACAGCATCACGCTCAAGAAATAACAAAAAAGACTTCGAACGACGTTTTTTTGAAAATAATAATAGGAAACAATTTGTTTGAATTTATTAATTTTTTTAAAGAGATAAAAATAAACAAGTCTTTAATTTTTTAACGAGCGGCGACTATGCCTATAAGGCGTTTATTGAACCAAAAAAGTAGCTCTAATCCGCTCACTGAGCCGAAAAGAAAAAAGTTAAGAAAAGTTGTTGATATTGAGGCGACACAAATCAAGGTAACTAAGCCGATAAAACATATGCCAAAAACATTTTGGCCAAATGAAGCTTTCAAGTGAAACAAAATAATAAAAACGAAAATATACAAAGTCAGGGCTACTAATTTAATAAATTACAGGAAAACATCTAAAAATGTTGCATCTACAACAAAAACTGCTAGCATTTAAGCTGACAAAACATATACAGAAAAACAAAAAACCGACAATTCAATTTTTCCCGGAAAATGTATATAATTTCATACGTACTGAAGAAAAACCCAGCCGGGACTCGAACCCCAGACCTTAGGATACAAGTCTAGTTTCCGATAAAAGACATTTGCTTTCGCAAGTCTAACTACTAAAAAGCTCTAAAACATGCTCAATATTAGTAAAAAAAAAAAGAGGACTAGGATTTGCAAGAGAGAGGAAAAAGAGGTGAATGAGTCCAGGAGTGAGTCCCGTGAACACTGTGATTCACAGGACAAAATTCTAGTACCCAATTGCAATACATTTACTTATCCCAAAGGTAAAGACTTAAAAACGAATGAAACATTTTGAGGCGCCCTCCCTCTCAAAACACACGCACACAAACTTTTTTCGCCAATCAAACAACGCAACATGAGGCCACTAAGTCGACATAGCATAAGGCTGAGATATAAAGATCAGATTTTTAAAATGGTAAAGGCTCAAAATTCGTCTGTTGCGACAGAAAGCCCACTCAATGAATGAATCCAGGAGATGATTTTTGTGGACAAAAGTATTTGGGGGAAAAGTCTAGTACCCGATTGCAATAAGCTTGCTAATTGCAACGGTAAAATCAGTCGGCCAATTTGATCAAATACTTTTTGTAAAAATTGCATGTAAGGAGGAGATAAAAGACCTTGCAAGTTTTCCATGAATAATAACATTGCTCTAAATAAAAGAAAAGATTTCATTTAAAAAACAAGTTTGGGGACCCTGGCCTAGATGTATGTCAGACTGTAATGTGAATATAAACCGGAAAGCAGATCCGATTCTAGACTACATCAAACTACAGGGACCCCTTCAAGACGATGTGAAGTACATGATCAAGAATCCAGGCACCAATTTCGTCGGCGGAACCAGTCTTGCATGTTAGTCCAGACCAGTCTCGAATGTTACATTTCCACAAACGCGATCTTACCCAAAAAAGTCAAAATGTACGGCTTTTGCTTTTTCATAAAAATATCTCAATTTAGCCAATTTGTTAATAGTCCAAGGTAAACACAGAGCTAGCCTTTGACGCACTATACATACAAAACATAGCCAAATGACAGTTGAAAAAAGCAATGAACGCAAAGAAAAAATGTTGACTTGTTTTTTTGAATAAATCTCAGCCTTCGAATATCGAAGAAAAAAATAGATGTAATTAAACCTCTTTGAATTTCTAGAACAATTTATAATTGAAAATTTTTTCTTGAAAGTAACCCAATTTCAGGAAACTAGATCAATACATAAGGATTTTATTTCGCTGGGAAATCTGATAATTAAAATCCACTTTAATAACTAGAAAGAGAGCTCGGAAAATCAAATTGATTGACCTAAAAAAATCGAAAAACCGCCCCCTCCCCCCTAGAAAAATTTCTGCGCACGCCACTGACTACACTCATTACTCTTAAAAAGACAAAACTACGCATTGGCAATAAAAATATCACTGGCCACCAATTAGCCTCGATTATATGATTACGTCTCAAATGGCATAATTCCCAAATGGCATAAAAATGAAATATTTCCCAAATGGCATAAATTTCATGCAACAGTTGCTTTGGAAAAATCGAGAACAATTTTTTCGTGAACAATGTGAGAAAATTAGTCAAATTGTCAATTCAAATGTTGATTGACATTTTATCGTGAAAAATTTGTACATTTTCTATCAAAGCAAAAAGATTAAGCTTGCGGTTATTAATAAGCTTGTTGTGGTCAACTTTTTCGACAAATTTGTTGCGTAAAATTGTTTGGAAGCAATTAATTCCTAATCTTGTTCGCATGCTTTCGTTCCTGACAAAATGATAGAAATAGAAATTGATAGAAAACGTTTAAATTACAATGAAAACTTGAAATTTATGCCATTTGGGAAAAGTTTCCATTTTTATGCCATTTGGGAATTATGCCATGTGGGAAGTTACCGATTATATTATAGTCTCCGAGAGAGAAACTCGCTTTACCCTAGATAGATACCCCTAGCTCGGGACTAATAGGATCAAATTCTACGAACCCCTATGATTAAAACCAGATGATTATTTCCACTGACCGACTCTCAGCCTGTCAATAATTGAGCATGCTTAACCATTATAGTTGAACACATCTGAGATTTGAAGATTTATTTCAGTGACTCAGCGCAAATACGGCTCACTGGAAGAACTTACCCGGAGACAGAATTATGTTCACCCCTACCCGTATGGACCCAAGAAGAGAAAACGTAATTGACAAACAGCCCACGTCTAGGCATAATTCAATGATAATTAATGATACCAATCTCCGCGAAGCTTCAGAAATATCAAAAGCCAGTTTTTGAATAACAACTTTGAAGATTTTTTTCACGATTTTAAACATTCTCAATTCCTTTGACAACATGAATTACTATGATTCTTTCATTTTTCCATAGAAAAAACACTCGTTTTTTCAATGGTTTTTTTAGTACAAAATGTCTCCTCGCCAGATAGAGTTGAACAGTAATTTGTTAATTTTTGTAACGACATCATATCATTATTAAAAGAAGCTCAAAACGGCTCTTGCAGCCGTAAGCAAACTGAGTGAGTGGTAGACCACCTCATCGTTCGCTCAGGGATTCGACCATTTAACCACCCAAAGGTCATCTTCGGTTTTTAACAGCGGTCCTACTTAATATAGGACCAACGGTGGGGGAGGGGGGATGTCATCCATCTCACCGCAGCCGGTCCACCTTGAGGTGGCGGATGACAATAAAACACCTCAAACCGTGACCGAAGCGGGATTCGAACGCTCATGTTGAGAGACGCACACCTTACCCACTCGGCCACGGTCCCCTTTAGTACTATTTGGTGAAAAACATTTTTGGCTGACCCTAAAATTTTTCAAAAGCCCTTTAAAATGATCTTATGGCGGGCGCGAATATACTCAACCTTCTAGTTGGAAGTTTTTTAGTTAAAAAAATTTAAAAGTCCGATAACGGCACATTTCGCTTGTTTTTTTTCCGAAAAAATTGTCAATGGTGCAAAAATTTTAGTCAAATTTAGGCCTGTTTAGTGTTTTCGGAGAGCATAGTAAATCAATATTTGGTTGGCAAAATTTTACGAATTTAATTTTCAGTTAGTCGCAACCCAACTTCATATGGCGATGGAATCAGTCCCGAAACACATACACGCATGGGAACTCCTAAACGACTGCTGCGGAGCATGAAAAGAAGACTCTATCCCAAAAGACAGAGGCCAAACTTGGGCTACGCCGGGAACCTCAACATGCAAAACATGGGAGGCGAAACAACATCTGCCGACCGACAGTTCTACACATACGATCATCCTCAAGTCACACATATACGAATCCCGAACAACAAACAATTTAACACTGAATCGCCTCCAATTTTTTCGTCCAATTTTACGGTTAGTCACATGAATTCAAGTGACAACGACAGTCCGAACATACAAGGAGGTACCCACAATAACCAATCCTTTAAACCAGGCAAAGGTAACACGCTGTTTTCGGAACGCGTGGTTCACGAGGGCTTACCTCATGGAGTCACGGCTGAAACGATGTCTGAGATCTCGCTACGGACACCGAAAGATCACGAGTATGGAAACTACCAGACACAAGCTGCCACTGCCCCGTCGAGAACCCCTGCTCCTCCGTCTCCACCTCCTCGAGCTCCTCAAAACCAGGGTCACCAACACCCCCATACATCCAACCAGAATCAACAAGGGGGAAATAGCAGTCCATATGCAGGAAAGAGTAGCCCGTATGGCAACACACAGTCGTGGGAGCACTCGACTCAAGGTCATGGCGCAGATACAGGGGGCGTCTACGGGGGATCCCCGGGAGGGATCTACGGAGGCTCTCCGGGAGGCTACGGGGGATCCCCGGGAGGCTACGGGGGATCCCCGGGAGGCATCTACGGGGGATCTCCGGGAGGCTACGGAGGATCTCCGGGAGGCCACGGAGGATCTCCAGCAGGGTACGGTGGGTCTCCTGGGGGTTATGGGTTGACCCAAGGAGGCTGCGGAGGTTATTGTAGGTCGCCATCACCGGGTACTGGAGGGGGAATGTATGGCACACCTCCGCACTACGATAATATGCAGGCTCCAATTCGTCCCAAAGGCAGAGGCAGGGGACGACGTATGATGCGCAGACCACGCGCACGTCCAAGGCGCTTTCCCGTTATGGGCAATAGAAAAAATTTCGAACCAACACCAACAGCCGGCTACTCTGCATTTGATAACAACCACCAAGAGGGCCCAGCAAGTTCGTATCATGAGCTGAGCCATATTAACCATGGAATGCCGTACTGGGGCAACTCTGCGCAAACATCACCAGTGCCTCGCGAACTGAACGAGGAATTGATCATGCAAAGTTTACGCAATTTGGGAGTTTTCGACTACCAATATAACAGCAAAGGCACTAACATGACACCACGCAGAAGGTATCCGAGGTACACGCAGACAAGTCCTAGACGTCGGCGGAGGTATGTTGCGCAAACTCAAACAACTCCTCGAACTCCCACGACTCCGAGGACTCCACCTAGATACCCGTCACCTCCACCGAGATCTCACAGAGATAGAACAAATAGCAGAAATGAATCTCCTTATATTCACGACACTCCAAGACATGTTACATCAAAGCCTACTTCAGTTTCCAGCAAAAAGACAGGGCCGGATGAAAGCATATCTGAGAGCGACATTCAGGATATTTTAGCTGGCAAGAAAAAAACGAATGCTCCAATTTATATACACTGTGAATGCAAAAAGTCAGGCGACAGCGAAGAACTCTCTTTGTCTGCAAGAAGCAGTAAGGGTGGTTCAACTAGCCGACTATCGAAAGGAGGTCGAAAGACCTTGAAACCAGGAACATCTGAGACTAGAGAATCGCGAGCGAGCAGCAGAAAGTCTAAATCGAAAGAGTCCAAGTCAAGAAAGTCAACAGCTAAGGACAGCAAGTCTAAATCAAAATCGAGAAGCAAGTCCAAACATCGAGACTCAGACTCAGAATCAGATTACAGCAGTGAAGAAGACTATGAGAGCTCATCCGGCTCTGGTTCCAGGTCAAGATCCAAATCGAAGTCCAGGTCCAAGTCTGAGTCCAGATCGAAGTCGAAGCAAAGTTCAAAACAACGGTCAACGAAGGAGGATTCTAAGAGCAAATCACGGCAATCCACAAAACATGGGTCTTCAAAACAATCAAAGCACTCCAGGAGTTCAAAAAAGAGTGGATCACGTGACGAGTCTAAAGGAGGTTCACGCGATAAATCGAAAGGATCTCGAGCAACCAAAGACTCGAGGGCCACCACCGATTCCAGAGCCAAGACTGGAAGACCTTCGGATCCATTGTGGAAAGGGGAATCGGACAAAGGCAGGGTTCTCATACTGGAAATGTATAATTTCGTGCGGATTCAAGACATGAAATTTTCGTTGTCTTCTACAGTGCAGATTTAAATTAACCGAAAATGAACAAAATTTCAAATTTCAAACCCGGTTTTCTCAAATTGGGTTGAAATTAGACAAAAATAGAAGAGAAAAAAGTGCTTAGAATTTCACCAGAATTAATATGGTACAATTTTCCTTCAAATTTATCAATCAAAATTTTGCCCCAAAAATGGGTCATTTTTATCAAAAATTACGCTGATACTACTTCGTTTGTTGATGAGACAATTACATCAAAAGAAGCCTCGTACACATCCCAACAAAGTAAACTTTTATGTGATGTGTGTGTGATTGATGAGAACCCTGCAAAGGATTAGGCAAGTCCGATGATCCGTCAAAAGGCGACCCAGAAGAAGGCGAAGGCGGCAACCTAACAGAACTTCTCGAGAAGGAAAGAGCTAAATCTCAGGGCGCAACTCTGAGACCTAGCGGTGGAATGAGTAAGGGAGGGAGTAGAAGCCGAGATAGAACAGATAAGAAGAGCGGATTGCAAAGCATAAATGAGCTGAGTAAAAATCAGAGCAAGCTGCTTTCTAAAAGGGCCGGGTCGAGAGGAACGAGGGGTGGCTCCAGAGGAAGGAGTGCTTCTCCATCTAAAAAATCTCGGGCTGATAGTCGAATGGGATCACGAGGACCTTCTAGGGGCGGAAGTAGATCACCATCCAAAGGTGGCCGAGGCTCAAGATCTCCATCGAGAAGGCCTACAGGAGAAAGGGACAGTAGGGATCCAAGACGCACAGACAGTCGAGGAGACTTGCGCAGAACAGATAGTCGAGACTTACGCGATAGTAGAGACCCTAGGAGTCGTGATCCAAGAGACAGTCGAGATCCGAGGGACAGTCGAGATCCAAGGGACAGTCGAGATCCAAGGGACAGCCGTGCTCCAAGAGATAGTCGAGATCCAAGAGATAGTCGAGATCCAAGAGATAGTCGAGATCCAAGGGACAGTCGTGCTCCAAGGGACAGTCGAGACCCAAGAGACAGTCGAGATCCAAGGGACAGCCGAGACCCAAGAGACAGCCGAGATCCTAGAGATACTAAAAGTAGGGACAGTCGGGGTACAAAGGATAGTCGAGATCGCAGAACGGGTGATCCAAGAGACAGTCGAGCTCCTCGAGACAGTCGCGATCCCAGGGATGAGCAGGATGCTCGAGATCCCAGAGACCCTACTAGAGATAACCGAGATAGTAAAGATCCTCGGCGAACTGATAGTCGGGGTGAGATGCGCAGAACAGACAGCCGGGGATCAAAACGTGACAAGTATTCACGAGGTAAAGACAGTCGCGGAGAGCGTCGGTCAAGGCCACGTTCTCCTTCTAAGTATGGTACTAGGGATTCTAGAGGTCGAGATGACAGGGATAGCAGGGGAAGTCGACGTGATAGAATGGATAGACCAAGTGGAAGTCGGGGAGACTCCGCGCGAGATCATGACAGAAGCTTCGCTACAGACAAAGATGGTCCAAGTTTGGAAGGTGAAAACGATTCGCGTAAAGGAAGCCGACGTGGTATCGGGTCTCGGGCAAGGTCCGGAGATGACCGACGTGATCGAGATTCTCGCGGAGACAAATACGGTTCACAAAAAGATAAAAAATCTCGCGATAACCGAGATGACCCTTATGGAGATCGCGGTTCCAGGAAACAGACAGGAACACGTTCATCGCACCCTAGTGGGCTTCCTCAAGAAGGCTCCGGACAGAAAGACGGTTCACGGCATCCAGATGAACGAGGATCCCAAGGGTCCAGAAAGAGAACTGGATCAGCATCGCAGCGTCCAAGTGATGGAAGGTCAGGTTCCAAACACGAAGGCTCGCGGTCACAAGGAAGCAAAGAAAAACGATCTGGTGATTACGGATCGCAAGACTCACGACGCCATGATGGCTCAAAAGGTACGCGACGATCTCAAGAAGCTAGAGGAAGTCAAAATAGACCAGACGATGAACGTGACTCCCGGGGGTCTAGGGGCAAGTCTGGGTCAAAAGGTAGCGGCCGAGAAGGATCTAGTACGCAGAGAGGGAGCCAAGATAATCGTGGATCAACAGCAGCCCGTGCGAGCGGTGAATCACAAGCCAGGGATTCTAAAGCAAGAGGAAGTAAAGATGCGTCGGGCGAAGATATGGATTCGAGAGGTTCGCGAAAGAAAAGTGGTTCTAAATCACAAAGAGAAGGAAGCCAAAGTGAAGTCCGTTCTAGTGGGAAACAATCGGAGTCCAGAAAAGCTTCTGGGTCCAAAGATCCAGAGGGCAGTCAAACGCGCCCTTCAAAGGACCTTCTTTTACGACCATCGGGCGGTGGCACGGAAAGCGCGTCTCAAAAACCTTCAGCCGAGAGACAGTCCGGTAAGAAAAGTTCAACAAGTTCTTCAAATTCAGACAAAGCTCAGGGTTCGACAGTTGCCCATTTAAGAGAAGCAACCGATGCATTTCTGAGATCATTTAATATAAAAGGAGAAAACGAAGGCAAATCATCTTCAGCAGTTAAAGAAAGCAAAACCAGTAGTGTAGCTGAGGAAGAAGCATCTCAGCGAAGCTCAGATAATAGGAAGTCGGGTTCCAAGGCTAAGCAATCTGGTTCTACTGCTTTAGGGGGAAGCTCAGATCAAAAAAGATCTTCGGGTTCGGCTCAGAAAAGATCATCAGGAATTTCAGAGCATGAAGAAGAGGCGGGAGAGGAATCGTCCCAAGGTAGCAACAAAAAAGTTAGACAGTCTGAACCACAAGGCAATTCTCGGGTAAGAGAATCAGAAGCGCGAGAAATGTCTGGATCGCGAGAAAATTCTGGATCAAGAGAGAAATCAGCGTCGAGAGATAATCCAGACTCGAGGGCAAAGTCGGCATCACAGGAGAAGTCTGGATCAAGAGATAAGTCGGCATCGAGAGATAATCCAGAATCGAGGGATAAGTCTGTGTCAAGGGGAAACTCTGGCTCTAGGGATAATTCCGGGTCACAGGAAAGACCTGAGACGCAGAGAGAGTCAGGAACACAAAAGCCATCCGCCGAGTCCAGGGATGAAAGCAAGAAAAGGTCTGGCGGAGAATCTGGTGCTGCCGAGTCAGCGGTAGGGCTTTCTGGAAGTGGTGGAAGTATAGACGACAAATCGGAAGGAGATGGATCCGTCTACACTTACGTAACCGTTGCAGATGATGACATAGAGGAAAACGAACCTCCAGAAAAGTCAGGGGACCCAAGCGTTAATCGAAACAGTGATGGTACTAAACAGGAGCCAGATTCCAAAATTTCCGGCAGTCAGGGTCAACCAAAACCCAGTGGCGCTGAAAAAAGTGGCGAAGGAAGTGGTCAAATCAACAGATCGGGAGACGATTCAAAGAAGAGCGGAACAAAAGACGCAAGTCGAGAGCCTTCGAATTCTGCAGCTAATAATGACAGCAAACCCTCAGGAGAGCAAAAGAAATCGGGCGCAGATAACAAATCGGGCGCAGATAACGAATCCGATTACACGTATGAAACTGTAACTATGACTTCGTCAGAGGTTAAACGAATGACTTCGTCAGAGCTTAAACGACAAACCGAACAAGCTTCCAAAAATAAAAGCTGAGGTAGTTCGGCACAACGAAGCAGGCAATGAACATACTCTCAAGAAAAAATAACTAACTAGGGCAAAAATGAAACTCCTTTTCCAGCAACTAAGCTGACAGACGGAAACAAAAATTCAAATAACTCAAAACTTCGTAGTTTATTTACTTATTTCTCTTGATTTTTTTAAACTTACTTGAATAAAAGAAAGAGTAGAATTTGCAATGTAAGCTGTGAAGAAAACAATTGCAGAAACTGCGAACCAATAACCAAAACAAACACACATTGCAGTTCCAATCAGAGTTCCGTCTTGGATCGTATGACTGGCTGACTTCATACTATAGAGCAATAATGCTACAAGAGTAAAATTAAGCATTGAAGGTCCGTAAAGTTCCCGCGGAAATTCGACATGTTTCGATTTCTGCACAACGGGCACAAAAGCACGTGCCAGTCGAATTAACACCGTTCGAGGCTCTACGTCAAAATAAGGTCGCAAAATGTCTATATTACCATAAATCGAGGCATATTTCTTCGCTTTTTCAGTCCCACTTTGCCAAACTTGAGATGCGACTACATGTCCGATTTCAGTCGCATTAGGGAAAACTTGCGAACCCGCCTGACCACTATTAGTATTATTACCTTCTTCCTCGTTTAACCTACTACTGTTTAAATTTCTGCTGTAGCGATCAACGAAGTTTCCCTGGTCTGTAGTTTCGCTGAAATTAAGGTCGATTCCCGATGTTTCCATAATCTGATCTGTAAACTATCTAATTAAAGAGAATCGCAAACACTTGGATGATTAAAAACAAGAAATTGATGTAACATAAGTAAATATCGACGGAAAATTAAGCTAGGTTCCAAAACGACTGGCCAGCGTCTAAACACAGCTCTACATACTTTTCACCGTCTCTACCAAACCCAGTTCTTTTGGTGGTCTTTCTAACATCGGGTCGACAAAAAAACGTCACTGTTTCCGGCTTCGATCAGAACGCTCTGAATAACTCAATTAAATGCAAAATAGTTAGCTCATGGCTGGGTCTCAGTATCCCCAGACCACGAGGTCACTCCTAAAAACAGGGCTACTACTTATTTACTATATTACTATTGTTTTGGTTCAGTAGATAAAAAGCATCATCTCCATCGAAGATGGATCAACCCTTTCCTTAACTCCTAGCTTCTCATAATCTGAAAACGAATTTGGATGTTATTAATTCAATTCAGGACATTTCCAGCAAGCTAAAAGTTTGTATAAAACACTTCAAGTTCCAATCTCGAGACCCTTCCGGATTCTGGAATCCGGAGAAATAACGCTCTTATTTCTTCTCGGAAGGCTGGACAGTTCTCGTGAATTGCCTAGTAACTTCTAATCACAATCTCAATCTGCTGTCGTTTTTCCGTTGTTGTTGCCACTGAGACTACTGTTGTTATGATTTCGCAGTCTAAAAAAATCGCTCAAATCTCGCTTCAAATTAGGTGAAAAATCTCGACTCGGGTCTCGGAAGGCTGGACACGTCGTCCCAACGCCCTTCCCAATTCTCGTGAATTGCCTTGTAACGATTGTAGCGGCACAATCGTTACAACTCGGAATGGTTACTGACAATTTCAAATCACAATCTCAATGTCCTGTCTTTTTTCCGTTGTTGTTGTCACTGAGACTACTGTTGTTATGATTTCGCAGTTTCATTTGGTGCAAAATAATAAAAGGTTACGTGTCGTTCACATCCAAATCGAATTTTCAAAAATTAACATGAAACTCCAAATTGACCCTTCCGAGTTCGTCAAAATGAACGATTAAGACCTCTAATTGATTAAAACCATCAATCTTCTCGGTATGATGCATCAATAAAATTTCGAATTCGAACTTGTATTTTGACACATTCTGGTCGAATGTCACATGATCTTTTTCCGACCAATTTGCATGCCAAATGGGCACAGAGGAAAAGACCAAGTAGGTAAACAGACAGCTGTGCCCTTCCGACAGAAGGTAGGTTTGAACCCTCCGAACACGTTACTACAGAATTAGGACAAAATTCGACTTGCGAATTTCGTGTTAAATTTTTTGGTTCAGATTGAACTTTTCAAAATTTCGACACGGAGGCGAAGCTCTGCTTCGCAAACAATTGCGAGAAAACGACCAAAAGGCAGCTCTATCAAGCGACAAAAAAAAATCAGAAAAAAGGATCGAATTTTCAAAAACTCGAGGCATAGGAAAAACTCGAATTTCCAACAATCTGCAACCTAACAAATTTTAGTATCACGCACTATCCATTCAGCCACAGATATTGATTGCCGGATCAGTCTTCTTCTCTAATCCCGAGTACCTTCCAGATTGAGCGCAAATTGGCATTAATGTGCTTAAATACTCAAATAAGCCTACAGTACAATCACCACAAACGGGCCACAGAATTGATCGTAACAATCCTGACTGATATAAATGCCTGTAACAACAATTTATCGGGAGGGAGGGTCGGATCCAAACAATCGGGAGGGTCGGATCACATCTCGTCTGGGGGGATGAATTCGACTGATTTCATACTTTTTTTAATTCAATGTTATTAATTCAATTCAGGGCATTTCCCTAAGCTAAAAGTTTGTATAAAATAGTTCAATTTCCAATCCCAAGACCCTTCCGGATTCTGGAATCCGGAGAAATAACGCTCTTTTTTCTTCTCGGAAGGCCGGACAGTTCTCGTAATTTGCCTTGTAACTTCTAATCACAATCTCAATCTGCTGTCGTTTTTTCGTTGTTGTTGTACTGATTTCGGAGTTTCCATTGGTGCGAAATAATAAAAGGTTACGTGTCGTTCACATCCAAATCGAATTTTTAAAAATTAACATGAAACTCCAAATTGAACCTTCCGAATTCGTCGAAATGAACGATTAAGAGCTCTAATTGATTGAAACCATCAATCTTCTCGGTCTGATGCATCAAAAAAATTTCGAATTCGAACTTGCATTTTGACACATTCTGGTCGAATGTCACATACTTCACGGACACTCCGTTCAATGTCTTCATTGAGTCCTGTGGTCTTCATCAAAAGGTTACAATGCCATCGAACATAATTTACAAAATGCATGAAATCACTTTTATCCACGTTATATCGATTCACTGCAAGATACAAATGGCATCATACTACACTACTATAGCTTTCCCAATTTTTTCACTAATCTGCATTTTCGAGGATTAAACTTAAGATAAAACATTTTTTGTGACTCTCAACGTCTATGTCCCAACGTCTATTCTCCTAGGTTTAAAAAGTGTTGGGACGCAGGACAGTCCTGCCAACCGACAAACTAAAATCAACCTACTCTGCTTCTTCCCTTCGGAAATATAGTTATTATTGGTCCTGAATATCAAAATTAAGGAACTCGGTTGTCAGAAGGAACAATGAAATAATCGCCCTCTTCAAGAGATTACCCAAGCCTTTCATGTCATCACAAAGTCATCAGTCGTCTTAATTGATTGAAAATAATCATGCAGGCTGGAATATTTTAATATACCTTCCACTCAAGCCCCACTAAAAAAATAGTAAGTGTCTCTATAGCCACTTACTAAAATCATAATGCAAATTTATAAATGCAACTAATTCTTTAACCTTCAAAATTCAACTAATGTTTTCTCTTCAGTTTCAATTGCAAACTTAGTTGCTTTGTTTCTCATTTGATTTTTTCCCACATACAAAACAATTCTGAGTTTTAAAATCCTCTCTTTAATTGCTCTTTTTGTTTGTTTTCTTTGTTCACTATTTGTTTTCGTCGTCTAGAATTTCTAAAACTTCTAAATTCTTCTAATTTATCTTCTTTTTGCATCTTGTTATTCGGCTTATTTGTCAATGCTCCCTCTCCTCCTCCTGCGACATTGATTCCGCACTTTTAGTCTCAGTGTCTTGCAACACGTCTGGAGCTATTCTGACGCTGTTGGAGGTAGTCCTTCAACACTTCTGCTCTTCTACTCTTTGTTTCTTTGTTTACAACAAGGTAGAGGATCAACGTTACTTTCTCTGTTTTGGCAGAAGCTGTTGTGGAGGCACAACGTCACGTTTCTCTCCAAGTCTTCCTTCAACATCTCTTCTTTTTCTCTTCCGTCACATTCACTTGTCCTAGAAATTTTCTTCACTGCGGTGGTAACTGCATTCCGATGAGTTACAAAAGCTTGCTTGAAAGCTCCTGCTTCAATGTCCTGCTGATACGCACTGTTCACTCTGCTTTGCTTCGACATATGCTTCTTGGCAATTTCGTACAACCATGCAGTCATGTTGGCTCTGAACCATGGCATCAGTCGTCTTCTGGCCCATATATTTTTCACTTTCATCGGAATGTTCAAGATTTTGCACGTTGTCTCAAAAAGATCTAAATATGTTAGACAACCCAATTCCTGCAATTGTTCTTTCGTCGGCGTTTCTTGTCTATTGTTCTCTCTTACATGAGCTTCCAGCCGTCGTATCTCCATCAAAACTCCCACTATCACTATCGTTATGGGCTGTTATGAATCTGGTAAACCCATGGAGAGCAGCTCTCCACAGTCCCAGATCAACACCAGATTACTACGCCCGGGGTACCACCATGTTTTTAGCAAGCAATGGCAGGTGAACTCATCCACATGATGCTCCTCCAATTACGCTTTCCCGACGTTTCCAGTAGTGGTTCTACTTCCATTATCACTCGGTGGACTTCATCATTCTCATCTACTGCATTGTAATCCGTGACTGTTGACCCTTACTGCTTTTGTCTTCCAAAGTCACTGAAGTTTCTACTGGCGTATCCCATGAATTTCTTTCCCAGTATTGATTCTAATTCCTCTTTGGTTCTCTCTGGAACTGCTGAGAACATTTTGCACAGTAACTCGTATGATTTTTCTGACATTTTCGCTAGTCTTACGCACTTTGGCACTGAGAAGGCTTGATCCACGATCGTCCCTGTACTTTTCACATCCACCGCTACGAATAGCACTGGGAACATGCTCTTGCATATTGGAGCTAAAGTTGACTCCACTAAATATCTCTTGCTCCCGTCAGTCTACGATAGGTTTCACTGTGCCGGATGTTCATTTTCGCCTCCATCGCTTCTCTCCACTTTCCAATATCTTTCGGCTCGGTTTGCAAAAATCCCGGAAACACTTCTACACTGATGGTCGTGACCATCTCATGCTTTTGTTCTAGATTCAATAGTGACTCTAAAGAACCAAACATGCTGTAGAATCCTAGTGCAGTCACTAGATTCACCTCGGTTCTTCCATGGCAATCTGCAATCAATTCCGTTTCCGTTTTTGCTTTCATCACAATGTTCCCAAACAATATCGTCAATTGCTTGTGTTATTTCTCCAGGATCATTACGCAATCCAGACCTCCAGACTTGTGACCTTCCAGTCCGAAGACTTCTGCCAGACAGCTACCAGGTTTAACCCAGTCCTCCGGTCCCCAGCCAGGCAACTCTACTTTGTCTTCTCCGTTGCTTTTAGAGGCTATCATCATCAAATTGTAAATTGTAGATGATGTTCAGGTCACACAAGTTACAGTCTGAGTTCAGTTCCCTCTGCACGTCTTGTGTCAATCGCAATATCGAATCGGCGTTAGGGCGCGGACACCATGATGGTTTCATCAGTTCCCAAACCACCATCAAACTCGTACGAGAAACCCAATCCGAACTCCGCTCGGTTGTCAGATTTTGGCACTGAAGGTGCAGTGAGCTTCATCTCCTGGTTAGAGAATCTTATCATTTCGTCAACCTTTTTCATCGGTTCCAGCTCCACGGGCTCCTTCATGTTCACTCGCATCGTCTTACTCTGATAGATGTCCAAAAGCGCTAGTAAGAGCAAGGCTTTCGCTCGTTCATCACCTTCTCTTAGCATCTTGACACAAGTGTTCAAGGCTGGCACTGATATTTGTTCTATCATGAATCGAATGAAACAGAGAGCGTCTCTCCGC